CATCCTTGGTTGCTAGTGATTGGGTAAACATACCATGATATCAAACAAACTTTCTGGTCCCTGAACAGAAGACAATCTGCAGCTGAGGTTCATTAATCAGGAATTAGGAGGCTGACAGCACTCTTGTAAAGAAGCAGAGGACATTCTGTCAAAGCACCAGATCCAGTTTTCTGAATTGATTTCTTTGAATCATATCCCAGACACCATGTCCTGGAAACCCCTACCTGAGATTCTAGTCTATTTCTCTGTCTTACCCAAGAATATTCCATCCTCTTATCAGTTTTGAAGCTAGCCTTTGACTCCTAGAGTGTTCCTTCCCCTCTGCTCCTATCTTCATGGATGCAAATATACCACCTACACATACCACTTCAGCTGAGAAGGCTAGCTCCACTCCTGGCATGCACCATTAACCTCTCATTTCCCACATTGCATCCTTGCCATGCAATACATATTATGTGCAAAACATGAAATACAAATTACATTTTTCACCTTTGCTAAGGGTCATGGATTTAAATGTTTATGATGACCTGGAAGTGTAAGAAGAAGTCACTTAACCTTTGTCTGCCTCAGTTTCCTCATACATAAAATGGGATATGATAGTAGCACCTACCTCCCAGGGTTGTTGTGAGGATCAAATAAAGTATTTGTAAAGCTCTTTGTAAACCTTAAAATGCTATCATCATTATCCTCACCATTCCTGATGATTATACCAAGTATTATTTAAAAACTAAGCACGGTGTCATAGGGAGCTTTCTTTGAGAAGGAACAGAATTGAGCAAAGAGCTCATCTCTCAATCCCTCATAACCTCTGGGCATCTCTAGCATTATATACATTAACTGAGTAAGTGCAGTGTATTCAGAATACTTGGTTTTGTTTTTTTTTTAACAAGGCAATTGGGGTTAAGTGACTTGCCCAGGGTCACACAGCTAGTAAGTGTCAAGTGTTTGGTCTGAGGCCGGATTTGAACTCAGGTCCTCCTGACTTCAGGGCTGGTGCTCTATCCACTGCGCCACCTAGCTGCCCCTGGGCTGTCTTATAGGTAATAATTATAACAACAACATACATGGTGCTTTAGATACCATTTATATAGTGCTTTAAGGTTTACACAGTACTTTACAAATACTATCTCACTTTATCTTCACGTTAACTGTGGGAACTAGGTGCTACTAAGATCCCCATTTTACAGACGAAGTAACTAAGGCAGACAGATTTTAAGTGGCTTGCCCAGGGTTACACAGGTGGTGAGTTTCTGAGATCGGATTTGAATTTAGGTTTCCCTGACTGCAGGTCCAAAGCTCAATCTACTGCACCAGTTAGCTGCCTTCACTCTCCCTCTCTGATCCTCTCCTAGAGTTCAATTACTGGTCAAAGAATAAAACTGGTAAAAGATTGATTCCTGTGCTGGTGATGGTGTGCCTAGTTCTACTTCTGTTGGCAGGCAGGGAAGTTCTTTGCCTTGTGTTTGTCAGGGCATAGCTGCTTAGAACCTTGGCCCCAGAAAATCACTGTTACTACCATTCTAGTGCTACTTGTTATATGACTTCTGATACTTTATTTTCCTGGTCTGGGATGGACATCAGTTATCTTATGTATGGCTACATCCCTTAAGGATATGATTCCCGGGTGTGTTGGTCTCTGTTTACCCAGGGCAGAGATTCTTAAACTTTTTACTGTCAGGGTGTTCTTTTTTTTTTCTTTTTGGTGAGGCGATCAGGGTTAAGTGACTTGCCCAGGGTCACACAGCTAGTAAGTGTCAAGTGTCTGAGGCCAGATTTGAACTCAGGTCCTCCTGACTCCAAGGCCAGAGCTCTATCCACTGCACCACCTAACTACCTCTGTCAGGGCACTCTTAAAACTTGTTTACGTGGGTTATGCTTATCATATTAGGATTTAAAACGAATAAAATTTTTAAAATATATATTTATTAATTCATTTAAAAATAATATTAATTAATCTTATTACATATTAACAAATCATATTTTAATGAAAACAAAATAATTTAATAAGAAAAGTGGCATTGTTTCACATATTTCTACAAATCTTTTTGATGTCTGACAACAGAAGACAGCTGGATTCTTCTATCTACTTGTGCACTGAATCTGTTGCAAGATGTTGTTTTGGTAAAGTGGGAAGAAAATCTGACCTCACACAAACATGTGGCTGGAAAAGGAAGAAGCCTTCTAATAGCAAATAACTTCTTAGTATTATTATGAAAATAGTTGTGACCCCCTGAACTCTATAAAAGAGTCTTTAGGGACTCCCAGGAATCCACAGACCACACTTCAAGAAAATGCTAATCTATATATCTACATGTTTGTGCATATTCATGCATATATACACTTATATACACACATGCATATATACACATGTATATATGTACATATATGCATGTGTATATGTGTGTGTGTGTGTGCGCGCGCGTGTGTGTGTACCCTCTGTGCCCCACTCAGTTGCTTTACCGGCAAAGTGGTAATAATAATGAGAGTGCCTCATTTTCCTCCCAGGGCTGCTGTCACAACCAAACATGAAGAGAGATATGAAAGTACTTTTGAAGGTATAACATTGTATAAAAAACACCAACTATTTCTACGATTTTAATCAGAATCTAATTATGTACATTTAGGTTATTTGCACTGCAGATTATCCATGTGTGTCAGAAAACATCTAGTGCTGGCCAGAGACCATGTCATCTGGGAGGTCAGGGCCACTGCCCACTTCCTAGAGTAAGTTGCCTTATCACAGAAAACATGGTCGAAGCTCTGCCGAGCTGGGCAGATTATTCATGGTCATCAGTGATATGAACCTAATGTTACTCATCACTTAATACGAACAATTTAGGAGATATATTATTATACTTATCAATCACTATATAGTCATATCGTCCATCATTAATAAATAACTTCTGTTTACAAGGTGTTTTAAGTTTATAAAAGACTTTCCTGACAGCAGCATTGAGGTAGGGCAAGGATTTTTATCTCTAGATGAAAAATGTGAAGCTGTAGCATTGACTTGCCCAGGGTCACAGAGCTAGGAAGTTTCAGAACTAGGAGAGAAAACCAGACATCACTCCTGACCCCAAATCCAGGGCTCTTTCCCTAAGCCACAATGAGACTTTGATGGATTCATGATTTCAGTGGTGCAGATATTTCTTCCACCAATGGCAATACCACCCCCTCCATATTGTCTCATCTCGTGGAATACTTGTGCTTGTCTTTCTTTTCTTTTTAAATTTTTATTTCTTTTATTTTTTAATTCATGGAATAAAACAAGCATTTCAAAACATAGTATAATAAAAAAAGATTGCTCATGAAACTGAAATACGATTATGTACAACTTGCTGTTCCTTTTAAATATATAATAAAGTTATCATGCAAATTTCTTTCTTTCTTTTTTTTCTTCCCTCCCCACCACTCTAGAGATAGCTACCATTGGACACATAGAATGATTTTATCTACATACATATATACATACATACATACATATATACATATACACATACACACATACACATGTTTGTGCTTGTCTTTCAATAAAGCCCATGTGGAAGATCCACTCAATGGACTGGAGGCCTTCCTCAGGGTTTTGAAGAATCCAAAAAGTAGCCTTGTGCTCTTCAGGAGGTGAGCTGCCTCTTACTCTAACTAAATGACAAGCCCAACTTTTCTGGTCATATGTCTTCAATGATATGTTTTACATAACTTTTAAAAAAATATGTAAACACCTTCATCGGTCACAGAGAAGTCTAATTATGTCCACCTTGTACCATTCTATTGTCCATTACATTATTTGTAATTTTGATTCTTCTGAAATGATGGAAGAGGGGATAGAGCCTGGACCTGTTATTTCATCAGTAGAGGGGATTTCCAAGTGAGGAAACTCCCTTTACCATTCCAGATCAGTACCTCCTCTGCAATTTATCATCTTAGAGACTTGCCTGGGGAGGGGAGGTGACAGGAGGGAAGGGACTTCCTTAGGGTCACGTGGCCAGTATATGTCAAAGGCAGGACTAGAACCCGAGTCTTCTTGTCTTTCTGCTTTCTGTTCACTGTATCATGTTGCCACCCCGAGATGTTGGTGTTCCACTCTTCATTCATGTGACATTGTCAGGACAATACGGTCATTATGGGATTTTGCAGCAGCAGTTACTTTGGGTGCACTTCATAATTTCCCAAATACAATCAATTTCATCTCCTCTTATCACTAATTTCTGAGTGCTGCTCACCCAGAGTGTGTGTACAAGATGAATGCTGAAGATCTAATCTGATGGGTTATTTATCCAACTACATGTCAAAGTCTGAGAAATATGTGTAGGCCACGTCTCAGTATCCCAAGCTCTGGGCTTATACAGAACACCCTTCATCTTTCTGACTTAAAAAAAAAAAACCCAAAACTTTTATCTTTCAATCATCCCCCACACCCACTCAGTGGTTTGTTTGTCCGTCCTCCCTGCCCCCCACCCCCAGAATCTCTGAGGAAAGTTCAAGTCTAGGTGTAAAAAAGGACTCCAATTCCTGTGCAAATACTAAAGGTAACAGCGCATACTGGGCATAGGATAGCTTTTATTTTATTCCACAGATAGAATGCAGGAAACACAAAGGACCCAATACAGTCCATAAACAATAGATATAATTCTCTTCCTTCTCCAGGGAATCCTCTCATACCCCAGGAAGCTAGATAGTCAACTAGACTATAGACCACATGGTATTCCACCCAAGAAGGGAAATGAATTTGGCATAGCTAGGCAGCTAACCCCATTCAACAGCATTCTGCTGAACTCACCTATGCCCCAAGATCCAGTCTTGAGGTTTAGACTCTCCCCAGAAGGAAATGAACTTGGGTTTGCTAGAGATATAGAATCTAAATGGCTCCATGGACAGAACACTAAGCCTGGAGTCAGAAGGACCCAAGTTCAAATCCAATTTCAGACACTTAACTAGCTGTGTGACCCTGGGCAAATTAATTAACTCTGTCTCAGCTTCCTCATCTGTAAAATGAGCTGGAGAAGGAAATGGTAAACCACTCCTGCACATCTGCCAAGAAAACCCCAAATGGGGCCATGAAGAGTGGGAAAAGACTGACCCACAATTGCTAGACATGCAATCTTCTTCCTTATTGGACATGAACTGTCCACATAATTCAGGGTAGTAGCAGACGGTAAAATCCAGATTTTTGCTCCTCTGCATCCTGGCTGTTACCTCAGCTCTGGGGCTGTGTGATCCATCCTCCTTTCTCTAAGAGCCTGGCACTGCCCAGGAATGCCTCCTTCATTCTCTAATACATGTGAATCCCACAACTCTCCAGGAGCTCAGCATTGTTCAGGAAATCCCTCCTCTTCCAACCAGGAGGCTATGCCAAGTGCTCCATCCTCTCCAAGGGTCACAAGGCTCAGACACTCCGCCATTCCCTCTCACCACCACCTCTTAGACCACAGGGGTGAGAGAATGGGTAATGACAATGTCACTTTGCTCTTCGTAGCTCCCAAGGGAGAGGCTGTGCAGATGCAGAGGCCTTCCCCACTCACCCACAGGACCCAGGTCCATTCTTAGCTCTGCTGTGGTTCACTGGTCTGTAAATAGTTCTTTCAGTTCTAAGCCTGAAAGCCAACTCTGTCCAGAAGATTCCCTTTAATAGACTCATTACAAAGGGAATGGCTATGATACATGATAGCCAATCACTGACTCATAAGGTCAATGAGTTGTGACAGTACACAAGTATCCAAGGCCAGATGTCCTTAGCCCTTTGCATAAAGTGCCAAATGAGCACAACCACACCCTCCAAAGTCTCAAACATAGGTTCACCTTCTTGAAACCTGATTAAAGTCACCAAGATGGGCAGAATACTCTCTACATGAATGAATGAATGAATGAATGAAGTATTTATTAAGCACTTTATACAAAGCACTGTGCTTAGCTCTGGGTATACAAATCCAAAGGACAGTCCCCGCCACTGAAGGAGCTCACATTCTAATAGGGAAGACAACATTTGTTTAAGTTCTCACCTGACCGTCAGATGGAAAGGTCCCATGGTCCTTAGGATGTAGCAGCAAAACCACCACAAAGCAGTAATGCCTCTTCTTTAATGACCTTTCCACTAATAAAATCATATTGGCTTCTGGTGTTAAACAATTTGACAATGCCAAGGACTTTGGCATTGGACAATGGCAAAAAATTTCTTTCCTTGGTGGCACCTGCAGGAGTGGTGTCCAGGCTGTATCTCCACAGGAATTACTTCCCAGGATGATGACTGAAGACACTGAGAGGGGAGTATTGCTTTTCCCAAGGCTCTTGGGCTCAGGGTCCTGGGCCAGCTCCATCAGGATCTGAGGGGGGATGAGAATCAAAGTAGCGGTGGTGGGGATGGTGGCCTGGCACATGTTGCTTCCTGTCTCTCCCTCAGAGTGCCTGCTGCTTCAGCTGGGCTGACTTGCCTGCCCTTTGGGTAGCAGCTGGGAAGTTGTGGCTGGTCCTCCCTCCACAGCTGCCACCTCCCTGGATGATGGTTATGTGTGTTTCATGCAATAAATTTTCCATAGTTGATTAAACCAATCTTTAGTTGCTTTAATAATGCAGATAATTCTTTCAATTCTAAAAGGTGAAAATAATATTAGTTAGTTTTCTATGCTGAATTTCCCTGTGTCCTCTTATGCAAGAAGGGACAAAAGTTATAGGAGTTCATGTTAGGACCTGAAACTTCTCCATGTTATCGAGGTGGATGTTTTTTTGTGTTTATTAAATCTATATGGAAGATAAGAGAAAAATCAAAGAGGGAATGGGATTCCTACATAAGGCAGATAGGAAGGTGGTAATGTACAACAAAAAGGGGCCAAAATATTGTAACTTGCTTCTGATTTCATTTCAAAGGAAAATAACCTTTGTATAGAAGATAGAAAAAAAATGTTGTCAATAGGCAGTTGAAACTGAAGATAAGTGAGGGGGTAATTCTTTGCTCTTAATGTGCTCAAGTCACATCATAATCATCCTATAGTACTGGAAATACCAGGAAGTATGACTGTTGAGTCAGTGTTAGTGAATTTTGAAAAATCATGGAGAATGGAAGAGGTGCCACAGGACTGGAGAGTGGCAAATGTTTTGATTTTCCAAGAAAGGGAGAGGGTGGAGTTTGTAAACTACATACGACAGTGATTTTGAATTCATTTCTGGGAAAAATTCTAGAACTTTTTTTAATTAAAAATTTTTGCTATCCTGAACCTGACAAACACCCCCCAAAATTTCTTTGTACAAAGGTTGTATCTTTAGCTGTGAATTTCTATTACATGCAGCTTTTTTTTAAACATAAGTAATAAATTCAACACGTTAGTTCCAAAGCTGTCCTGCTAGTCTGTCTGTGAACTTCTCTGTGTTCCCTTCTGCCATTTTAGAAATTCTTCACTGATACTCATTTCTTTCATCTCTTTCTTATGGGGAGAAGGTATCACAATCACGAGCCCTCCCTTCCAATTCTCCAAAATGAAAAGCTCTTCCTACTCTCTGACTCTATCCCTTTCATCATTTCTTAGGGACAGGGACTGACCCATGATCTCATTAGTAAAGAGAACTGCCAGGTGAGAAAATCTTTTCAGGTTGAAACTTTTTCTACAACTTTCAGTTTCATAGAATCACCTGGATTCTATGAGGGGTTGAGAGACTTGCCCATCACACAGCCAGTATGTGTTAGTGGTAAGACTTAAATAAACCCAGGCCTTCTCAACTGAGAGGCCTTATTCACTAGGCCAGGATGCCTTTTTTCATTACATCTAATGGGACAATAATATTCCATTATATTCATATGCCATAATGTGTTCAGCCATCTCCTGATTGACACACCTTTCCCCTTATTTTCTAGTTCTTTGCTTTAAAAAAAAAAGGTGTTAATAGGAATACTTTTGTACAGAAGAATCCTCTTCTGCTTTCCTTTTATCTCTTTGGGCTATATGCGTAATTGTAGCATCACTGGGTTGAAAGGTACGTATGGTTTACAACTTTTTTGGGCATGGTTTCAAATTGCTTTCTAGAATGGCTGTGTCACTTCCTAACTCCACTAATAATGCATTAGTGCCTGTTCTTCCACATCCACACCAACAATTATTATTTTCTTTTTTTTGGTCATCTTTGCAATCTAATGATGTCAGGTGAAAGCTTAAAGTTATTTAATTTGTATTTCTTTTGGTACTGGTGATCTGGAGAATTTTCAATATAGTTGTTGATAGTTTGTGTTTCGATTGTTTTGAGAACCACCAATTCATACCCCCGACAATATATCTATGGGAAGAATTGTTGTTACATGTATTTGAATCAGTTTCTTAATATATTTTGGATATCAAACCCCTTTTCAGAAAAACTTGCCATCATAATTTTCCCCAGGTAACTGCTTCCCTTCTAATTTTAACTGCATTGATTTTTTTTTGTGAAAGATTTTCAATTTTATGTAATCAAAATTACCTGTTTCATTTTCTATGTTACTCTCAGTCTTTTGTTTGGTGAAGAACTCTTCTATCAATAGTTGTGAAATATATTTCTTTCCTTTCTCTTCTCATTTGTTTATAGGTCATAATGATCAAATGTCCATCCAAGGCTTATCTTGGTATACTGCACGAAGTATTGTTCTAAATCTAATTTCTGCCAAATTGCTTTCCAGTTTCCCCAGCAGTTTTGTCAAATATTAAGTTTCTACCAGTTGAGAGGCAACTGTGGATAGAGTGCTGGCCCTGGAGTTAGGAAGACCTGAGTTCAAATCCAACCTCAGATGCTTACTACCTGTATGTGACCCTGGAAATTCTGCTTCTCAGTTTCCTCAACTGTAAAATGAGGATAATAATACCTCACAGGGTTGTTGTGAGGGGAAAATGAGATATTTGTAAAAAGTGGTTAGCAGTGCTTATCCCATAAATACTTATTTTCTTTCTTTCCTTTCCCAAGTTTATGGGGGTCTTGGGTTTATCAAACACTACGCTACTACGTTCATTTGCTTTTGTATGTTGTATACCCAATCTCTTCCACTATTGAGCACCCTTCCTTTATCATCAGTACCAAATCATTTTTTTTTTTTCAAATCATTTTAATGATTACTCCTCTGTAAGATAGTTTGAGGTCTGGTAGCACTGGGCTCCCTTTCTTCCCATCTTTTTTTCATTATTTTCCTTGAGATTCTTAACTTTTTGTTCCTCCAAATGAATTTGTTCATCATTTTTCTAGTCCTATAAAGTAATCCTTTGAAAGTGTGATTGATATGGCAATGAATACGTAAGTTAATATAGATTTTTCTATTTTTTTTCATTTTTATTACATGGTTCAACCATTAATATTTCCTTAGATATTTAGATTTGTCTTTTTTTTTTAAAGGCTGCTTTGTATCTGATTTCTATGTAGGTGGACTCCTAAATATTTTCTGGTTCTGTCATTTTTTGTTTTTGTTTTTTAAAAGAAATTAATTTTCTCTTATTTCTTGCTTTCTCTTCCTACTTTTGTAGGTAATATAAAGAAATGCTAATGACTTCAATGGGTTTCTATATATCTTTTTTTCTTACAGTATTCATGATGTAAAGAAAAATTAGAACCAATAGGAGGAACCACGAGAAAGGAGAATCAAAACAAAATAACAAAAGAAAAGGAGAGCAAACAGTATGCTTCCATCTGCATTCAGCCTCCATGGTTCTTTCTCTGGATGTGGATAGCATTTTCCATCATGAGTCTTTTGGAGATGCCTTAGATCCTTGCATTGATAAGAAGAGCTAAGTCTATCAAAGTCAGTCATTACCCAATGTTGTTGTTACTGTGTACAGTATTCTCCTGGTTCTGCTCACTTCACTCAGCATCAATTCATATAAGTCTTTCCAGGTTTTTCTGAAGTCCAACTGCTCATTATTTCTTATAGTCCAATAATATTCCATTACATTCATATAGTATAACTTGTTCAGCCATTTCCAAATTGATGGGCATCCCCTCAATTTCTAATTCTTGGTCATCACAAAAAGAACTGCCATAAATATTTTTGTAAATGTGGGTCCTTTTCCCATTTGTATGATCTCTTAGTGATACAATCCTAGAAGTGGTATTGCTGGGTTAAAGGGTATGCACAGTTTTATAGCCCTTTGGGCATAGTTCCAAATTGCTCTCCAGAATGGTCGGATCAGTTCACAACTCCACCAACAATGCATTAGTGTTCCAATTTTCCACATCTTCTCCAACATTTATCATTTTCTTGTTTTGTCATGTTAGCCAGTATGATAGGTGTGTTGTGGTACCTCAGGGTCATTTTGATGGGTTTCTTTATATCTTGATAATTTTTTGGTTGTTTCAATTATTTTTAGTTGAATATCTAAAGTTTCCTAAATAGACCATAGTATCATCTGCAAATAATGATAATTCTATTTCCTTATTGCCTATGTTTATTCCCTCAATTTCTTTTTCTTGTTTTATTGCTATAGCTAGCATCTCTAGAAGTTTGTCAAATGGTGATAATGGACATGCTTACTTTATCCATGATCTTACTGGAAAGGATTTCATTGTTTCTCCATTATTGGTGGCTGTTGGTTTTTTCTACTTTTTAAAAATTAAACAAATTTTATTTTTAAAATTCTAAACTTAAAATAACAAAAAAAGTCTATATTCATGGCAGAACATAAAAAGACTGAATATGAGATCATAAATCTCCATTCCATATCACCAACTAAAAATAATATAAAAAATTCCACATTATTTTCAAATCCTTCTAGTTTGTGTGTGCTTCTGTTTTCTTCTCTGCATCCAACAAAAAAAAAAAGGTTTTTTTGGTCCTTCTTTTTGAGGAAACACTATTGCTAACTCCATCATTCTCCTCATTCCAATTAAAAAGCTGAAATAAAAAAAACTTCTTGTAACAAATAAATATAATCAAATGAAACAGATCCACACAGTGGCCATGTCTAAGAACATATGTCTCTTTTTGCACCCTGAATCCATCATCTATCTCTCAGCAGTTAGGAAACATGAATGCTTCTTTATAGGTCCTCTGAAGCACATTACATTAATCAGAATTCTTAAGTCTTTAAAAATAGTTTTTCTTTACAATGTTGTTGTCCTTGGATACACTGTTCCCCTGGTTCTGCTCCCTTCACTCTGTGACAATTCAAGTTACCCAGGATTATCTGAAAGTCTCTTTCATCAGTTCTTATGGCAAAAGAATATTCCATTACACCAATATACCACAATTTGTTCAGATATTTCCCAATTGATGGGCATCCCTTAGATTCTAATTCTTTTTTCTTTCACCCCCTCCTTCCCTTTCCTTCAGGATCAGGAAGTTTGTTGGGCTTATGGATATTTCCTCCCTTGTATCATCATCCCTCTTGAGAATCCATCCCTATCCTTGCTAACTTCCCTTGTGAGTTTGATGTATTTCTTTTTTGGGGTGGGGGCAGGTGGAGGGGATTCTAAGTTAATTTTATTTGTACTTACACAACCCTTTTTTCCTTTCAGTATTGAGGTAAGGTTAATTATAAGATACCTACTATTTCCTTCCCACCAGAAGATACCTTATATAGATAAATACATTTTGCATATACTTAATATGAGCAAATATCTGCTGAGAGATAACGTCTTTTTTGTTC